ATGTTTTTCTGAAGGTTCCTTTGAATCTTCATTATCTTTTCCTAAGGAAACTGTATGCTCATCTCCAAGGCTCTTGTCTGATACAGAAGGGACTTTTCCAGTAGTTCCGAAATCCCAGTTTTCCAGGTCTTGACTCTGTAGTTCAGTGAAATGACTCAGGCTTACCTCAGAATGATCCTGCTGGGAGACAGGTTCCCTAGGGACTGTCTTATGCCGCCGCCACCGCTTCCTTGTTTTGGTGATGTGGTCCACGGCTCCTTCATGGCTTGTTCCCTGCTGTTAATCTGTACCTCAGTCTCATCAGCAGAGGATGCAAAAGCTTGACTTTCATCCTGATTCTTATTTTCTTTTTGTGCTTCCTGTTTAAGGTGGGTTTTCAAAGCCTTTAATAGCTTGTTTGCCCTCAAGTTAGCCTGGAGGCCCAAACTCTTGGCCAAGTTCTGTAGGTCGCTGTATTTCAAGGAGCCTAGCTCCTCCGCAGCGAGGAGGGTTGCCATGTTCCAGCACTCCAGACCACACACAGGGGACTGGGACACTGAGCCGAAGCGTGCAGTTCAAAACTGGCACCCTGGTCTGAGTTTCTTAACCTTTCAAAGCCTCGTTTCCTTCATTTTTCTCAAGGAAATAATACATATTTTGAGTGAGTAGGCCCCATCAGAGAGCACTGCAGGAGGACTGAGTCTTATACTCCTAAAGCCTAGGATAGAGATTGGGTGTTGTTATTGTGTATTGAGAATTGAACTCAGGACCTTGCCTTTGCCAGCCAGGCTGCTGTACCGCTGAGCTATCTCCTCAGCCCAGGTTGCTTGGTAGATGTTTGGGAGTGAATTTACTAGGATGGATACCTGCTGTGTGTACTTGGCTGCAGGGGTTTTGAACTAGCACGGTATTGAACTTAACAGACACAGGAAAGCTGAAAACTGCCTCAGCTCCTGGTGAGACAGCCAGGCTGTTGGAGCTAGAGGAGAGCATGTGCCTTTCCAGGGAAAGACAAGACAGATACACTGAGTGGAGTAACAGGATTCTTGTGCGCTTGTCAAAGCCCTGCAGCTATTTATTTATTTGCATCTGTGATGATGCGAGCTGGGTAGAGTGGAGAGGCTCAGCTGCAGACGGGTGTAGCACAAGCCCAATGCAAAAAAAAAAAAAAAAAAAAAAGTAAAATGTCTCAAGTCATCATTTATCCATGGGTTCATCCTCTCTGTTAAGTGTGGCTTATTTTGTTAGTCTTTTCTGGTACTGATGTGTCTCACCTTATTTGGGTGTCCTGATGAAATAGTAACTGGGGGAGACTGGGAGAGCTAGTTGGTGGGGTGGGGAAGAGATTTTTAATTTTTAGATTAGACCTAGGATGTGGATTCTTGGGTCATGGTTGGGGTTAAGGGGCTGCAGAAGAAATGCCCAGCTCTACCAGAGGCCCAGGTTCCTTCTTGAGGCCTGGATATGGCCTGTTGGATTCTTTTTCCTCACAAACACAAGTCCTGTTTCAAGGTAGGTGTTCAGGAGGTGTGTTTTAAATGACTGAGTAAATGAATAAGCAATATCTTTGAAGAGAATCATGGGAACATATTAGGGTTTACTTTGTTAATCACCTTTGTGAAGTTGTGTTTCTCAGTTGAGCTTTCCTACTTCCAATACTGAAGGATGTGTGTGTAAAGGTGGGTAAGATACTCCTCTGAAGGGATTTCTTTTTTTTTTAATATTTATTTTTATTTATTACATTTATTTATTGTGTGTGCGTGTGGCCAGCTCAGCCCACCAGGGGGCGGGTCTGGCTGGCATGTGGTGCTGGGGATCGAACCGCGGTCCCTGTGCTTTGCCAAGCTTGTTTCAAGTAGGTGCTTTAGACCACTGAGCCATCTCTCCAGCCCCTGAAGGGATTTCTTACTAATTTTTTTTTTTTTTTTTTGCATTTTCCTGATTCTTGTTTGCTGTTTACCATAATAGTCAATGAAGTTTTCGTTCTATTTTTAACACTGCATGTATATGTTTATGTGTATGTCTTTATTTTTATACCAGCCCTGTGAGACTTAAAGTGTTTTTCTCATGTGGAATTTTGTGACTGACTGCATTATTTTCTTTGATAATTCATTTAGGATGAAATTCTGAAAGCAGCGGTAATGAAATATGGGAAAAATCAGTGGTCTAGGATTGCCTCTCTGCTGCATAGGAAATCAGCAAAGCAGTGCAAAGCCAGATGGTATGTACGAGTTAACAAGCAGAAAATAGAAAGCAACCTTGCTCATGAGGCGGGAAATGTCAGATCTTTGAACCTTGGTGAAAGAAATCATGTAATGGGAAGTAGGGAGTGGCAAAGGGATTTAGACTCAGCTGCCACTTGTTTCCTGGCAAGCCATTTTTTATTCCCCCTACCCTGCCCCTGTCTCCCCAGTCAGGGGTAACAGTCCTTGGCACTAATGGATGCGGTGGGAGGCTCTGTCTGAATGAGTTACTATGTGCCTTGTGGAGCAGAGCACCTTTCAGGGACCGATGGGCCCAGCTTATAAATGATCTGTGTTCCAAGAGTCTAAATTTGTTAGTTCACAACATCTTTTAAGAAATGATAAATAATGGTTTAATTTTTTGGCAAGCTTACAATTTGAGTTTCCTCATAATGGAATTGAAATAATGTGTATTTGCTATCATGAAACACAGCATAAGCCTATGGTGTCACCTTCTAAATCACAGGGTAGTGGACATACTAGGCTTTCCATGTCTTCTTGGCACAAATGGTCTGGCCTTAGCCCACACCCATCTGCTCTAAGGGACATATTTTGGATTGTACAAAAGTGACCTAATTTCTTAGCTGTCTTGTGAGGAAGAAGGATCCGTGTAGAGATTGAACTCCAAAGAGGAGGTGGTCCTCAGCGTGAAGAAGTGGTTCTGATTTCTGTTTCTTGGAGTGATGCTAAGCTCCCTACTCGGTGGTTACGTGGGCTTACCTATGTCCTGTTTATCTAAGGTGGGTTGGGTGGGTGTTATGAAAAACATGATGCCACAGTTTAATTTAAATTTAGAAACATACCAAATGAAAACTTACAATGCTGAAAGCCATTTAGTGAGCACAAGTCAGGTGTTTAACCTAAGTGGTGTGAGGCGCAAAGCATGGAAAGTACAGGACTACGAAAATAGAGATACTAAAATGTAGTAGATGGCATTGTTTTTTTCCAGATCGTTAAAAATGTACACTAAAAACAAATAGTAATTGAGAAGGCCTATGATGTACTTCAGGCAAGTTATGTTTTTTAAGCATTGCTAGTCTTACATAGTAGAAAAGTGGAATGTAGTGAGATGGAGAATATCGACTGGGAGAAGTTTAGCTGCACAGTGAATATTCTGTTGTCAAAAAAAAGGATGCTTTGGTCATTAAAGAATGAGAGCTGTGCTTGTCAGACGTAGAGATCTGAGCAGCGTGTGAGCTGGGTTTCCGTACTAGGTGACTGATGAGTGCATTAAATTGTGTCTCTTAATAGGTATGAGTGGCTGGATCCGAGCATCAAGAAGACAGAGTGGTCCAGAGAAGAGGAGGAGAAACTGTTGCACTTGGCTAAATTGATGCCAACTCAGTGGAGGACCATTGCACCAATCATTGGAAGAACAGCAGCCCAGTGCTTGGAGCACTATGAATTTCTCCTGTAAGTGGATCTTCTAAAGCAGGCTGGACTCTTTATTCTATATATCGTGTAGTTGATAAAATTATGTCTTATGTTATATATAATTTGTGTGTGTGTGTGTGTGTGTGTGTGTATGTGTATGTAGTATTGGGAATTAAACCCGGAATCTTTGCATTAGGTTATATCTTGAGTCCTGCTTATTTTTTATTTGAAACAGGGTCTTGCTCAGTTATTGTACAGACTGGGCTTGAACTTGGAATTCTGCCTTATATACTTCTTTTTTTTTATGTGTGGGTGTGTGGGTGTGTGTGTGTGTGTGGCCAGCTCAGCCCACCGGAAGGCGAGGCTGGCTGGCATGTGGTGCTGGGGGATTGAACCGCGGTCCCTGTGCTTTGCTTAGCTTAGCTTGTTCTAGGTAGGTGCTTTAGACCACTGAGCCATCTCACCAGCCCCTGCCTTATATACTTCTTGAAAATTAATTTTACAAAGTTTACAAGTCGTCTGTGGTCATGATAAAAATTCTGGGGAAAGGAATCCTTGCACATTGTTAGTGGGCATGTAATCCCTACCACCACTGTGCATATCAGTGTGGAGAGTCCCCCAGAAACTAAAAATAGGTATTGAATCCAGCTATATTCTTTCTAGGTTTCTCCTCCCAAAAGTTAAGACATCATGTTACAGTGATACATGCCCAAGTTCATTATAAATTAGCTAAGCCTTAGAAATAGCCTTTATGTTCATCCACAAATGAATGGTTAAAGTTTACACACAAAGGAATACTGCTGTGAGGATAAATTTGAGTTGTTTGTAGCCAAATGGATATGCTTTGAGACCGTAAAGTTAAGTGGAATAAATCAGGCATGCAGTCTTAAATGTCACATGGTTTCTTTTACATGAGAAAGCCAAAGTATAAATAAAAAGCAAAATAAAAGATAGATAATAGGAAACAGAGATAGCTGGGAGGGGGACCAAGAGATGAGGGAGTGGAGGAGAAGGGAAATAAAAAGAATTAAGATGTGTCAGCTCTCTAACAAAATGTTATCATTATGTTCCATAAATGTACTAGTAAGTACAAAATTGTTTTTAAATTTTGGGGAAAAAATAGTATATGAAGAAATGTCACCCTTAACCACATGGCTGAGAGTTAACTGTTAGAACATTTTGGTTCTTTGTTACTAGTGCTTTATTTGTATGCTTGTATGGCATTTGTGATTAAGGAGCTGCCTAGATCATGTTCTGTACTGAATGCAAGCACTTGCTGAAATTAGAATTTTAATACCATTTCTTCCAGATGATGCAGTAGTAGAAGTGCTTTATTTTGTTAATACCCTTCTCTTGAATTTTTTTGGGAAAAAAATGGCCACAGCTAGGAAAGTCAGTAATTCTGATGCTGTATGGTATGATACTGTGATGAAGTCATCTGGGCTTTTTTTAGGGACAAAACTGCCCAAAGAGATAATGAAGAGGAAACCACAGATGATCCACGGAAACTTAAACCTGGAGAAATAGACCCGAATCCAGAGACAAAACCAGCACGGCCTGATCCAATTGATATGGACGAGGGTGAGTGGACAAGGGCGCTTGTGAGGACTCTGTGGCCTTGTAACTGTGGACTGCTCAGGCCTCTCACACTTTTCTAGCTCTTTTCTGAATTCTGCCTTTTTAGAGCCCCAAGTCTGTCTGTATTTGTTCCAGATGTGTCCAGTTTCTGTTAGAGAGTAGTTACCGTTTTTGGACAGCGCGCTTTTTATCTCATTAGTTTACATAATAAGTTAACGTAGTAAAATAGTGTTGGATAGGTTTCTGGAAGGAGCAGCATGGTTTCTCATTCCTCTTGCATAAGACAGGCAGGAAGCCAGGGTACGGCGCTTAGTGCTCTGACTTGAAGATGACCGTGTGCTCTGGAGGCTTGTGATTATGGGAGGCACTGAAATGGCAGCCAGGGAAAGTGGGTTTGATCTGATTTATTTATTTATTTTTTTGGATTTTTTTGTGGTACCGGGAATTGAACTCAGGACCCTGCACTTGCCAGGCAGGCACTTAATTATTTTCTGTTTGTTTTGAGACAGTTTTGTTATGTAGTTCAGGATGGCCTTAAACTCACTATGTAGCGCAGGCTGGTCTCAAACTCACAGCGATCCTCCTGCGTCAGGCTCCTGAGTGCCGAGATTATAGGTGTCTACTACCACGCATGGCTGAGAAAATGGATTTTGTGGTTTTTTATTTATTTTTTTTTATTTTAGGAAGGGTCTGTAGGGTATTCAGGGTCTCACTAATAGTTCGGACTCGTAGTGATTTGCCTGTTTACAGCCTCCTAAGAGCTGGGATTGCAGGTGTGCGCCACCGTGCCCTGGAGGGGGTGTGGGTAGTGTCACAGCAGGCCCATGGATTGAACCTCCAGCCCCTGCGCCTGCTTGCAGGCACTTTAATCTGCTGAGCTATTTGGCCAACCCTGGATTTTGGATCTAGATCTGTCCTTGTTAGCACTCTAACTAGGTGAGTCATACAGTGTGTCTAGCTTTGAAGTCTTTCTTTCCAGATAGACAGCAGTATCTGCTTTGCTTCACAGGGTTGTTGTAAAGCTCTCAACAAATGTTTGCTGAGTTTTAAATTGTAAACATTTAGAGTGGTAGTTTCCAAAGACTGACTAGGCTGGCCACATCATTTTTCCCTGGGGAAGTTTAAATTCGGGATCTAGGGCATCCCCTGGAGATACAGAGGAGGAGGAGTGCTTTTCGGCTGGCGGAGGGAGGCTGTGAGGCGAAGACCATGGTCCTGGAGTCTCGAGGGTGTTGAAAGTTCCCGTGTGATTTCATTGGGCATCCTTGTGTAGAAGTTACTCTAAGGTGTCAGCAATGGCAACTATAGTTCTCGTCTCGAGATGTGGAAATGTACTGGCAGAGAGAGTTCTGAGGGGGGAAGTGTAGCTAATGGAGACTAGCAGTTCCTTCATGATTAGTTTTTACAGCAAGAGATGATACGTCTCCATTTCGTGAATACTTGCTAGTTGTCTTTGTTTCCTTTTGCTTAGTTCTCAGCATCACTGTGAAGTGGGGATCGTTTTTCCAGATTTACAGGGGAGCGTGCTCAGAGAGCATAAACAGGTGACTAAGGTCACCCAGAGCAAGGTCTGGTTTTTAATCTGGGTTTCTCTGACTTCAAAACCCAAGCTTTTCCCATTATGCATCACCATTTATGAGTGTATTTCTCTCATTTTAAGCACTGGGGTATCCCTCTTATGTTCTTTGCTTATGTTGGAGAGAAACTTAATGCGTCTTTTTTGCAGATGAACTTGAGATGCTTTCTGAAGCTAGAGCCCGCCTGGCTAATACCCAGGGTAAGAAGGCCAAGAGGAAAGCCAGAGAGAAACAGTTAGAAGAAGCAAGGTATGTTTTTCTCTCTGTGCGTAACAATTAGCAGATGCACCCATTAGCCTACTGAAACTGTGGCTTATCAGTGCTATTTGGTGACTAAAAATCACGGCCAGTTTTTTACTTTGAAAAAAATCTAGTGTTTTTTACCCTTAACCATTTGAGACACGCCAGATGTCGTGCATACTTTACTTATGCTGTACATTGGGCCTGTTCTTTTAGCATAGCACAGCTTTATCTGTTGGTACCTTGGGGAGAAGTGCCTGGAAGGCGCAAAGTAGTGTGTGTGACAGCTGGTGAGTAACTCTTTGTGTTTATATTGGGCAGGCACTGGCTGTGAAACAGGAATCTGTGCCCAGTGGAGTGCGTCAGTGAGCCTTCAAACAAGTCTAAACACAGAAATCTTTATTTAAAATGGGAGTTAATGTGTATTAGCTATTGTTTTTTAGCCAGGATTTTCTCTGCTTTATTCTTCTTATTTCCTTTTGTTTATACCACGGTTGAGGTAAAATGGCCCAGAGACCACAATGAAGTTAGTAATGAGACCATCTGAATTATCAGCTCATTAGCTTTTGGGATGCAGGCAGTGGAGGAATCCCTCACCTGCCCAGTACTTTTGGAGAGAAGCGCCTCTTGACCTGATGTGTAGCATTGTGTTGGTGGTTTCTCCAGTGGTACCAGTGAGTGCCGGGTCCTGGGATGGAGATTCTCCCATGTGTGAAGGTGCTTGTTAGTGTAGCTGGCCAATCCCCAGCTGGGGGATTGGTGGGAAGACGACCATCCTACAAGACCAGACATAACAGGAGGATGTACTAAGTTTTCTACCCAGTCTGAGCCACCTTTCAGTCTTGGACACTATTAAAATTAAATAATTCTTTCATTTTTATCCAGGATTGTTTGGATGTTCTACTTTTAACCATATGGATAGGTCTAGGGCTATAGCAGATGCAATTGTGAAAAATCTCCCAGTTTTGGGCTGGCCAGATAACTCAGTGGATTAAAGTGCCTGCTTAGGCAAGTGCAGGGACCGGGGTCAATCCCCAACTGCTGTGCTGGCCCTGCCCCCAGGGGCCCGCTGACACAGTGAATGAGACTGGGCATGGTGGCATATACCTGTAATCCCAGTGCTTGGGAGGCTGAAAACAGGAGGATCACTATGAATCTAATCTGTGTAGTGAGACCCTGTACTAAATTAAAAAAAAAAATAAATAAAAATTTCCTAATTTTGGCCAGCATTGAGTCATATATATATTATAAATGTGTATTATATATATACACACACATACATATATGTAATGAATTTAGGACAGTGTATAAGGTCTCACTACATAGATCGGACTTGTAGTGATTCTCCTGTTTTCCCAAGCGCTGGGATTATAGGCATACGCCACCACGCCCAGTCTCAATTGCTGTCTCAGTGTGTCCTGGGGCTGAGCTGGGATGGCACACTGGGGATTAAACCCCAGCTGCAGCGCTCTGCCAAAGCAGGTACTTCAGTCTTCTGAGCTATCTGGCCGGCCCTTATACATATTTTTGTAGATTTTAGTTTACCTTAAAATTTATTCCAGATTTTCTTGGGCAGTCTACACTTCTTTGTAAGTTGTTTTCTTTACATAAGTTCTGTTTTATGACTTCCCCTTCATATTTTGAGAGGAAGGGCTTTTTTTTCCTTTTTTGGCAGAACTGGGGATTGAACTCAGCCCCTTGCGCTTGCCAGGCAAGTGCTTAATCTACTGAGCTATCTCCCAGGCCCATATTTTGAAAATATTTATTAAAATTATAGCATCAGTGGCCTGGCCTTAGCTCAGTTGTTTAAGTGGCTGCTTCCACAAAGCTGTCAGCCTCAGGTTGCTGTAGTTCGATCCCCACAACACTCCAGCCAGCCAAACCACCCCTGAGGGCATTCGGAGAAAAACAAAAACAAAAACAACAAAAAAAAAACCTTATAAAAAAAAAATTATAGCATCATAGGAAACTGCAAAGAAAAAGAAAAGTTAAATGGGATTCCATCTTGTGGTGATTATCAATGTTAAAAATTAATGGATGGGTACAAATGTGTTAAATTTTTATATGCCTCTCTAATATGTGAACTTTGAACATTTTGTAGAGCCCTGTCTTAGGCCTCTTTTAGAGTAGATTCTGGCCTTGCTAAAGGTTATACAGATACCTCTATAGTATCTTAAAGCTGTGTTGTAAATTTATTTATCTTATATAAGATCTTATCACTGAAGGTTTGTGTCCATCCAGCATTAGAGCAGTGTGTGGTGAGCAGTCTTCAAGTTCGGTCATTGATCATGTTCTGATGTATTTCCTCAGGCTAAAGGCTGAGCAGTGAAATTCCTGGCTTAAAAAAAAGTGGGGGAGCTACAGGCTTTTAATGTGTAACGTGTAAGTTTGTCTTTGGGGAAAGTCATCCTGTTGTAGAAAAGTAACTATGTTGTGTACCTATGCCAGTAAGATAAAGAGTGTGATATTAATTAGAAATGCACAAATGGTTAATTTAGTTGTGCTTTAAAAATTAATAGTTAAGTAAGAACTATTCTGTTTGTGTTTTGTCATTCTAGTTATTT